GGCTCGGATTTGACCCAACACATCAATGTGTTCAATCAGATCATCAGCGATCTGAAGCGAGTTGATGTGAAGTTCGAAGGCGAAGACAAGGCGCTGATGTTGTTGAATTCCCTACCAGATTCTAATAGAAAATATTAGAATTAAGATGTTTGATGGTGTGGTTAGAACGTTGNTTTCTGTTTTATCTAGTTCAGATCGTTTAACAGATTCTTGGATTATGGATTCAGCATGTTCCTATCACATGACACCCAACAAAGATTGGTTTGACACCTACAGGTCAGTAAATTCTGGTTCTGTTCTGATGGGTAATGATGCATCTTGCAAAGTTGTTGGAATAGGAAATATTAGAATTAAGATGTTTGATGGTATGGTTAGAACGTTGTGTGATGTTAGACATGTACCGGATCTAAAAAAGAATCTGATTTCATTGGGCACTTTAGATTGTAATGGTTATAGTTACAAATCTATAAGTGCAGTAATGAAAGTGAGTAAAGACATGCTGACAGTGATGAAGGGACAGAAAGTAGCAGGAAACATTTACAGACTGTTGGGTACCACGATTGTAAGTGGAGTTGCTGCTGTAGAGTCTGAATCAGATAGTACAATCTTGTGGCATATGCGGCTGGGTCATATGAGTGAGCGTGGGATTGTAGAGCTTCATAAGAAAAATCTATTGAAGGGTGTCAAGACATGCAAGCTCAATTTTTGCAAATATTGTGTTCTTGAAAAATAAAACAGGGTGCAGTTCAAGACAACCACACACAAGACAGATGGAATTCCAGACTATGTCCATACAGATGTTTGGGGACCAGTTAGCGTAGTATTACGGGGAGGATACATGTATTTCATGAGTTTCATTGATGACTACTCGCGAAAGGTCTGGGTGTACTTCATGCGGTACAAGTCTGAAGCGTTTGCCAAGTTCAAGCTGTGAAAAGCTGAAGTAGAGAACCAGACAGGGAGGAAGATTAAATGCCTCAGGTCAGATAATGGTACTGAGTACACAGATTCAAAGTTCCAGGAGTTGTGTGAGCAGCATAGGATCAAGAAACACTTCACAGTCCGCAAGACACCACAACAAAATGGTGTAGCAGAAAGGATGAACAGAACGATAGTTGAGAAAACTCGGTGTCTCAAGTTGAATGCAGGGCTTGCAAAGAATTTCTGGGCAGAGGCAGTGAATATAACATGTTTCTTGATTAACAGATCACCGACGGCAGCACTAGATGGGAAAGTATCAGAGGAGGTATGGAGAGGTAGTGAGGTAGACTACTCTGGTTTGAGAGTGTTTGGATATCCAGCCTATGTACATGTTTCAAGTGAGGAGAGGTCGAAGCTTGATGCGAAGTCTAGACAGTGTATCTTTTTGGGATATCAGAAAGGGGTGAAAGGCTTCAAGCTCTGGGATCCGAAGGCAAACAAGATGGTAATCAGTAGAGATGTGATTTTTGGTGAAAAGGCCATGTTGCAGCGTACTCAATAAGAAGAGAAATAAGTGCCAGAAAACTGTAGCACTAATGAGCATGTGGTGCAGGTGGAGTTAGAGAACCATGGTAGAGAAGAGGATGCTCAGCATGTAGAGAGTTCTATCTCAGGTGATCAGCAACATCATAGTATAGCCACAAACAGGCCCAAACGCAATATCAAGCCGCCTACCAGGTATAGTTTTGAAGATTTGGTTTCTTATGTGCTTATTACTAGTAACGGGGATCCTACAACTTTTCAGGAGGCAGTACAAAGCCAAGAGAAAAGTAGATGGATGGGTGCTATGGTGGAGGAGATGAAGTCTCTGCATAAGAACCAGACGTGGGAATTGGTGGAGCTTCCCGAGGAGAAGAGAGCGATAGAGTGCAAATGGGTGTATAAGAAGAAAGAAGCAGTATCAGAAAAGGGGGTGGAAAAATTCAAGGCTCGTCTAATAGCAAAGGGTTACTCACTGAGAAAAGGGGTTGATTATGATGAGATCTTCTCTCCCGTGGTCAGACACACTTCCATCAGAACAGTGTTGGCACTAGTAGCACATTCAGATATGCAGTTGGAGCAGATGGATGTAAAGACAGCTTTCCTTCATGGCGACTTGGAGAGTTTGTTGATAAGGGTCATGTAGAGAAGAAGACTTCAACTAAAAAAAAAAATTGTGATGAATTTTATACAATTGAATCAAAATCGATGACAAGTAGATCAATGTTGACCATTGTTATGCTTTTATAAGTTAAAAATTCAACTTTCTTGCATTTGATATTAGATGGACATTAACTAGATTATGCATTTTGAGTGTGGAGCCCTCTTTGTCCATAGTCAATGGACGTAATTTCATTGGAGAGCCGTGCTTATGCCTTATACATAATCTTATCTTATACGTAATCTTATCTTTTACACCCATCACTAATAAAACATTAAACAAGATTAATAAATCTTACTATTTTAATAAAATAATTGTTAAATAAGGTGATTATTAATAATTATTAAAAGAATAAAACTCATTACACTTATAAAATAATACATTATCCCGTTTTACTTTTTAAAAACTGTTTAATAGATAGATTTTTCAACATGTGGTGGTCCACTGTCGCTAACCGCATAAAATAATTAGTTACACCTTATTAAGGTTTAACGTTGGTGAAGGATCGGAGGAAGGTTCTTCGCGAATGGCTTCATTGCCAGACAATGGGGCCCGTCAATAAAACAATGTAATTCTACAGTAATTTGCAACAATCAGCTGTGGCATAATGGCTCCGCAGTCTGCCGTTGAACGATTAGGTTACGGTTCAAATTTTATCGGTCCCTCTGGTATAAAAATTTCAAATAGTAACCAAAAAAAAAGTGTAAGAGTGGGTCAAGAGTATCATTGTGTGCGAACTGACCCTCATTAAACTCTATAGGGATATCATGGGAGCCTGTCTATTTTTTTTTTAGTTTTTCAATATTAGTTTCTTGAATTAAGCAGATTGTAAAATATCTGTATCATTATTTTTAATGTTTAGAAGTCTCAAGTTCTAGACTATTTTTACATTTGTTGTCACTAATTAAAAGTCTCTAGAGTTATTGTGAATAGACTCGGTGTGCATTTTCTTGGTCAAGATAGATGGGAACGAACTCTACAAACTAAATTCGGATCTCACAATCAAAACTAAGAAAATACAAGTTTTGAATGTGGAGTGTGTTTTTGTTGATTTATTCACGCCCCCCTTTTTTTTGTATAGATATATATATATATATATAGATTTGGATTGAGGAAAGCATTCACCATGTGTCTTTTGTGACAATACTAAGAACGAGTGTGCAGACACAAAAGACTAAACTTTTACTTACGAGCAAATGGTAAGCCTCGACACATGCCCACATTCACCAAAGGTATAACCGTAATATAACACCATCATTGTCGAGTGATGTCACTCTCCTATAATAAACCTACAAGTCACCAAGTGGAGTTTATCTTGTCCACTTAAAAATTTATTATAAAATAGTGACACCATATAACAAAAGTGATGTGGTGTTACCGTTACACTTAATATTTACTCGTTAGTCACGGGCTGGCCCAAAATTCCAATGGGCCTAAGTCAGCTCTCCATGTGACGGCCCATGGACAGTCCAATAATAAGCAGGCAGGACTGTGGACCACAGTCCACGAAATTCGACTCTTTCGGTCCAGCTAGAGAGCCTGGCTCACTGGTTTTATAAAATCTAAAAAGATATTTAATTTGGAAAAAAAAAAAAAACAATTAAACATTAGGCTCACTAGGGTCAATCTGATTGACCTACAATAGGCCTTAGTCCGGCATATTGTAGTTGACAATAAGGTGCAAGTGAGTCCGGCGGACCGGCTAGTCCGGTCCGTTCCCAAGACTTAACAAATGGGCTAATTTTAAAAGGATTGTTTTTTATAAACAACCTGACATGTTATGAATCAAGAAAAGTGAGGACGAAGTAAAAAGAAAGGAAGCATACAACTTGCAGTGGAAATTGTAAATTTACCAAATAATACTCGTAGGTGTGTCAAAATTATCTATTAACACCAACACAACATAGACTCTAATACGAATCACATAGCAAGGGAGTAGAGGTGAGAGTGAAAGAGAGAGCAGAAGTGTAAAATCAACTAAATTCAAACAAATAGTCGAGTAAGAATGTTTTAAGAGCGTCATATTATATACATATAAACACATATTCACTTACAAAAGTTAATAGATGTACAATTATGTGACAAACTATTTGAGACTTTTGCGGGTGATTTATCATTTTTTTGGATAATTTGTCACTTTTGTGGGTGTTTTAACAGCTGTTGTGGTAATTATTTTTACTATTTTTCTTCAATAAAAAAATTATTATTTTTGTGGGTGATTTACTACATTTGTGAGTATTTTTACTATTTTTGCGGTAACTGTTTTTAACATTTTTTCGGTTCTACAACAGTGATAAAAACACCTACAACGATAGTCAAAGTATCTACAAATATAACAAGCCGAAGTATAATATCGAATTTTTTTTAGTAGCATAGACAACTCCTACCTTGTTGGTCACGAATTACATATGCACAGTCCTTGATATCATCAAATAGGTGTATGTAATCACCATTTCTTAAGAGGATTAAAGTTAGGCGCACTTTCTCAGACAGTGAAGAAAATCTTATTACTTTTGATTAAATCTTTATTGGTATATAATTAGGTTGAGGGTAAATGTATCCTAATCTCTCAGAAATCTGAGAAAAGTAGTCATCTAGCTCTTTTCTAAACTAAAATTGTTTTGAATCCTAAGAAACTCTCTTGAGTATAACTCGAGATGCTTTTGGATATCTCTTGAAGAAAACTAATTTTTTACTCAATGAAATTATTTTTATTGATGAAACAACAAGACGAAGTTAATTTTTAAGGAAGATGAGCTGGAAATATTTAGCTCTAAAGCAAGTAACAGAACAATTTCAAGAGTGTCAACTTGAATCAAACACTTTAAAGATTACATATAACACAATAATGAGGCTGTTGCTGCAACACAAACATCGATTACGCCGGTTGAGATGGATTTGGCTCTGCTGTCACGTTGCATCTGACGACGACGTTGGGGAAGATGAGGGTAACCACATTGGTTACTCCATTGTAGATCCAAAAATATCCACACTTGAGTATATTTCGAGCCAATATTATTGGTAAAAATGTCAATACAGCAAAAGTAATGAGTTGCCCAGGGAAGCGTGGTGAGAGGATAACCGATCCTAGTGAGACCGAAGAAAGAACTCCAGCTACGAGAATAACATGGCTTAAGAATATTTGCAAGTATTTTGGTGTTTGAATTTGATTTCTTATTCCCATAGCGAGGCAGTAGATGGAAGTGGCTATACAGAAGCACCACATATTGATAGGCCGAGCTTCGAATGGATCCTCACCTTTGGATTGATACTGCATGGTGACCAGGGCAGCTAGTAATGGCACCAGATACTTGAAGACCACGTGGCTTGGAGGAGATGATGATGTGAATTTTTGCTTGCTTCCACTATCACACAAATGCAAAATCAAACTGTTTTAGATCACAAAATTTAAGAAACTGAGGTGCCAATGTTTTTCATGTCAGTCGTAGTCACCGTTGTGTTTTGTCTCTGAGTAAGGATTGGAACTTGTTTGTTTGTTTGTAATAGCTTTGATATCTTTAAATAGAGTTGTTAGGACTCGTTGACACGATACCAATATAACACGAATACGATACGAAATTAGAAAGTTTGAATTTTTCTTAAACTACCATTTTTGTAAAATAGTACACCTGACACGATATGATTAATAAACGAATTGAGTATAAATAAAGTCAATTAAAAAAAATACACAACACAACTCGTATTTATACCAATTATATACGACCCGAACTCAATATGACATGATTCATTAAACACGAATTAATAAATGAATCGGATATGAGTGTAGTGCTTTTAACACAAACCCACTAAGACCCAACACGAACCCACTTCACCCGACACGATTGACAGACCTACCTTCAAATGTCATTTATGTGGCTCAAATCTTTTAAACCTAGTAAATATGAATCACCTACTATTTTCAACGATACTTTATTTAACTAACCTGCTTGCATAGCGAGGAAGAAGATCATTCTTGCTTATGCACATTATCATTCTCCTTTTGTTCATCCTTCGCCGAGCAATCTTAAATCTCGTCTTCTCTCTACCATTGTCTTGACTTGTGATTTCATGGTCACATTCCATTTTGAAGTGCACCCAACCTGTTTGGGGTTCCTGCAAGTCTCCTCTACTCTATCTTACCCCCCCCCCCAACCCTAAAACGCAATATATATAGGGTAGCCTTGCAATCTGTCTTCCAACCTCGACTTGGAAAATTCCACTTGCAAATCTCTATTGCAATCTCTATATGGTCCATGAAAAATGACACTTGCAATACCTACTTGGAAAATGTCACTTGCAATACCTACTTGGAAAATGTCACTTGCAATCTCTGTTTGCAATCTCTACATACAAAGTATATGGAAAATGATACTTGAAATCTCTATTGTGATTTCTACATGGAAAATGATTCATCTGACTCTTTGTTTGAGGGACTTTACCTTCCATGAATATCTACTTGCGTATCTAGTTTTTAGATTTTATTGTACCCTAATGATTTGACATAATATCTTGAACTAATGATGTAATAATTGACAAAATTCAAGAATATTACCCAATAATCATAGTTATAATAATGTTATTGGACTATAAATTAGCACACGTCATTAAGTCATAGATATTAAATTTGATAATATTGTATGTTACGACTCGTATAGTATAGATCAAAAATAACTATTCAATAGTAATTGATCTATTTTATAGAACTTTAAAAACAGTCATAATACATTAGGATCNTAGTATAAAACAAAAGTAACTATTTAATAGTAATTGATCTGTTTTATAGAACTTTAAAAATAGTCATAATACATTAGGATGGTCTCATATAACTTTAAAAAATAGTAATTTGTTGTGACTGAATTGTAAACTCATCTGATTAAATGGTACTATTTAGTACCATAAACTCTCTTCCTAAAGATTCGTCCAAGATAGAGTTTTAAAAAGTCAAGTTTTGTTTAAAGACACTTCAAGGATCCACCAAGTCAACTATGTGTGTCCAAGAATCCGTCAGCTGGCTTCACGCATCATTCATGCATCAAATCGTACAATAGATTGCTGTTCGGATAGAGCCATATTAATGACTACGACCTCTTTATTTTGAGCATTTTTTTAAAAATAATATTTTTCGACCCAACATATAACACAATATATTTTTTTCAACAAATTAATAGGTTAGATTTGATCAGTTTTTGAAATGAATTTAAAAATAACATGATCTATTAATTTAAATATTAAATTAATTAGGTTAATATCAAACATGAATTTGTCTCGATAAATACATTCAACTTATATTGTATAAATGTATGATTTTTATTATCTTTTACCAGGTATTAATATGAATAGCTTTAAAGTAGGAGGATTTTTTTACTTATTTTTGCTATTATGTGGAGTGATATATGTATTTTTAGTCTACGAAACATTGAAGTCATAGTCTCGGATATTTCTGTGAGTTTGAGAGAACACAAAGGGCCTACATTGTGGGTCCGGGGTCACAATGCTTTGCAAGACAGCAGATCACTTGCCACTATCCCCAAAGGAAACCCAAGTTGTCAATGTGAGAGAGCGAGAGAGAGAGAGACAGAGAGAGGGGAGATAAGCTGCAAGGTGAAGGGACACAAAAAAAGGGGGGTTAAAATAGCATCATAGAGTAGAAATTAAAGTGGTTTATCATGTTATTTTGGGGGTATTTTTCCCAATGCATGAATAAAGTTCGACCTTATCACAAAATTAGTGAATTATGATTGATTATAACCTTGCATAAATTCAAAAGCAACCTTATTTGTAGTCAGATAAAGACCGAATATATTTTGTTAATATCAAACATAAATAACATAATTTTACTCTAAAAAATCTATTTGACTGGTGTTGTATGCAAAAGTTTGAGAATATTTTTTTTTGTCTTATTCATATCTTGATTTAATAGATATTTTATGAATACTTGTGTAGAATTAAAGAATAATGTACTTGATCTTACTAACATATGAGTCAACTAGATTTGTAATTTATGGGAGGACCTGTCAATGATGGGTTTAATTCAAAACAAAAAGAGTATAATTTTGGTTTTCGATTCACAGGTCATACTTATCGATTCAAATACAATCATAGATTTTTGGATGTTTCATTGATTTATGGATAAAGTAAAATAAAATGGTAAAATATTTTTTTTCAAATATTATATCTTTATTAAATTATAAAAATAAAAATATAATATCAAAAAATTAATTTTTTAACTACTTAAATTGTTTTCTTACCTACCCACAGAAAAGGATTACAACATCATTTCATCCGGATTCTTGTCGGACTATATATGGGTCGCTTTGATTGGGTTAAGTGACTTTTTAGTTTTTACCAGGTCAGATCATAGTATTGGGCTAAGTGCCCATTTTTTGGATCCGACAAAGGAAGTACAAAATATAAATATAAATCATTTCTTCATCAGGGGTTAATATTTGTTGTTAAATCGCAAACAATTATATCCTTTTGTTGGGTATTATTCTCTCCATGTCTCAAATGCGAGTTTCAAGTTTATGTATATCGTAAACAATGGGTGGTTTATATTTATTGGGCCAAAAAATGATTAATCTCAGATAATTAGTCATACCCTATAATTGTGATTCTGGTAGTAGTTATGGTCATTGTCATCATGATCGTGAATGATTAAGAATTTCATTCTATTAACACGGACAATTACATAACAGTATCAAACATATAAACTAACTTAATTGTAGGACATAAATAAATATTGATTTTGATCAAGACTAATGTTTGACATTATATCTTTCAAATAGATTTCGCCCTAACATTGGTATTTATGGACTTCCTGTGTCTGCAGCCTTGCAGGATATAATGATCAATCATACACAAAAAACACTATGATTTGTATATCTGAAGAATTAAAAATTGTGTTTTGTACTCTCTAATATGAACATGGTAGAATAAGTAACTCATATTTAATATATGAAGAGGCTCATTAGGTCACAATACATTATATCCTCATATTATATTCTTAAATTATGTCTCAATATCAGTTATGTATCTATTTATTTGATACTAGCAATGCACCACGTGTGTTGCATTTGAATAATTTTTCTTAAAAAAAATTAATAAATATATATTTGGTATATGAGTACTTGAATTAAATATTATCTCAAATTTATCAAATTTATTTTTTCAGCTCTCATGCTCCGCTATAAATTTTTTGAAAACTTTGTATATTTTCAAGAGTTATTGTTCTAACTTTAAGAAAAATAAAAAAATAAAAAGAAAAAAAATAATTAAAGTTCTATTTTGTTTTTGTAGTTTTGTAATTGAAAGTGATTTTTTAGTGATGTTTGAAAATTAAATTTTTTTTAAATTAATTTGATTAAAATTCCACTTACAAATTATTGAATAAAATAAAAATAATTATCAGTATACCAATCGTATTAGAACTTACTGTATTTAGGATTAGTTAGGTTAATTGAGATAAAATTTAATATACAACGTCATAACATATATTATAAAAAATATTAAAATTTTTAAAAAATTCAAGTTTTCACATAAACTGTTAACACAGTTTAAAAAATTTACTGCGACTAAAAAATCATGTAAAACTATATATACATTATTTTTTATTTTAAAAATAAAATCGTTAAACTTTTTGATGAAAAATAACATATACATATGTAGTCATAATATTATCTTTATAAATAAGATGAATATTATTGTATTGATGGAGTTTTTGAAATTTTTGTTAAAATTTAAAATAATGCATATATTTTTTAAGAATAACATAATCAATAAAAAAATTTCATAAAAATTGACATTTATAAATAGAGAATAGATAATTAGAAAATTAATTTAATTAAAATTCTACTTATAAATCATTGAAAAAAATAAAAATAATTATCAATATACCAATCATATTGGAATCTTAATATATTTAGGATTATCTAAATTAATTAGAATCAAATTTAATATACAATTCTGTAATATATATTATAAAGCATATTAAATTTTTTTTTAAAAAAAATTAGGTTTTCACATAAAATCTTAATAAAGTCTGAAAAATTTACTGTGACAAAAAAATCATGTAAAACTATATATATATACCAAAACATGAACTAATTGCGGAAATAGAATTAGGAGAATCATGAGATATAAATGGAAAATACAGAAAATATTATTACAAGAAAATAAATACTTACAACACTAGAACTACTGGTCTAGTGAAAATAAGCAGTAAAATAAAAGGCTTCTGAGCTCTTCTTTTGCATTATTGAAGAAGGTTTTACAAGAGAAGGGTGTGTTTACAAGATTTAGAGGGCTTGTAATGTAGTCGAAAATTCGACTTGGTTTTTTCTTCTGAATGGAGTTGCCTTATATAGGGATAAGGGACTCCGAATGGAATCTTTGCAATTATTTCTTTTTTGTTTTCACTTGTGGGTAAAGCATTTCACTTTTCTGCTGTCAGTTGGAAAGTGGAGTAATATGAATTCACCCATGGTAAAAGGACAGACAGAAGGGACTAGTGGGTCCTGCTTTTGTCCTGAGAATCTATCTTTCGGTGGAAAAGTAGATTCGATTGGCATAATGTGATATTATGATTTACATAGAATGGACAGCTTTTCTTTCTTTATTGGAAGAAAGTAGTGATTGAAGCCATTTTATGTAAACAATAATTCACGGGAGGGCCAGATCCGGGGTGAGGTCATCAATATCTTCAAATGCTGCAAATGGATCTTGGGCATATCTTGGGGGAAGCTCTGCTGATACATATCCTTGCGAAGATGCTGATGAGTCACTATCTGAATTAAGCTGGTGGAGGAGCTTCTGGAGGAGCTTAGCCTTGGACTTCCTCTTGGATTTCTTACTGGAACCCTTAGATGAAGATTCCTCTGGCTGGACTGCCTTTTCATGAAGGCTGGGCCTAATTTGCTGAGCAGACTGGGCCTTAACAGGAATGACTGGTAGTAAGGTACTTGGAACTGCTACTGGAGTTGGTACCTTGACTGGAAAATCCTCTTGAACCAGGGCAATAATGTTGCCTTGTTGGAACCTGGGCCACCATTTGGCATAAAATTGCCGGACTAGATTGAATCCAACAA